TGCTTTTACAGTACCCTGTTTTCCCGAAAATAAGACCTAACCTGAAAATAAGCCCTAGTATGATTTTTCAGGATAATCGTAATATAAGCCCTATCCCAAAAATAAGCCCTAGTTAAGTGAAACCCAGCCTTTCACCATTGTGTAGCAACCAGAAGATGACATGACTGTATTTGAATAAACATAACTTGTTGTACATGAAAAAAAAATCCCCTGAAAATAAGCCCTAATGTGTTTTTGGAGCAAAAATTAATATAAGACCCTGTCTTATTTTCGGGGAAACATGGTAGGTAGAATATTTACAGTACAGTGGTGCCTCGCACAACGATTGCTTCATACAACGATGAATTCACACAGCGATGGGTTTTTTTGAGGAATTTCCCCCATCGTTTAATGATGTTCTCTATGGGGGAATTTCACTTAACGATGTCCCTTCTTGCTCATTTAAAAGTGTCTTAAAATGTTTGAAACCTGTTTTAAATGCTTGGATTCCATAGTGCACCTTGTGAAACATGTGCAAACTTAATTTGGTTTTGTTCTGAGTCTTCATTAATTTTTGGTGATTTTTTTATTTTCCCCATTTAAATCAATTGAATGGACAGTTCAATGCATTTAAATAAGGAAAACAAAAAATCACCAAAAATTAAGGACGACTCAGAACAACACCAAATTAAGTTTGCATAGGGTTCAGGAGGTGGGCTAACAATTGCAAGCATTTAAAACCTGTTCCAAACATTGTAAGGAATGAATTGAAAACCGGTTAATCCGTTCCAATTGGAACAGATTGCCGTCTTTAAGTGAAAAAACCCATAGGAAACATCGTTGAGTGAAACAATGTTTCCTCCATTGGAATGTATTGAAGCCGACTCAATACATTTCAATGGCTTTGCGAAGTCCTTTTTCGCTCCTGTAAAAGTGCCTTACAGTGTTTGGAACAGGTTTTAAATGCTTGCAATCGTTAGCCCACCTCCTGAACCCTATGCAAACTTAATTTGGTGTTGTTCTGAGTCGTCCTTAATTTTTGGTGATTTTTTAAAATTTTCTCTTATTGGAATGCATTGGACAGAAAGTTCAATACATTCCAATGAGAGAAAATTAAAAAAATCACTAAAAATTAAGGACGACTCAGAACAACATCAAATTAAGTTTGCATAGGGTTCAGGAGGTGGGCTAACGATTGCAAGCATTTAAAACCTGTTCCAAACACTGTAAGGCACTTTTACAGGAGCGAAAAAGGACTTCGCAAAGCCATTGAAATGTATTGAGTCGGCTTCAATACATTCCAATGGAGGAAACATTGTTTCACTCAACGATGTTTCCTATGGGTTTTTTCACTTAAAGACGGCAATCTGTTCCAATTGGAACGGATTAACCGGTTTTCAATTCATTCCTATGGGAAATGGTGTTTCACAGAACGATGTTTCACACAACGTTGATTTTTTTGGAACCAATTAACATCGTTGTGTGAGGCACCACTGTAATTCCTATGCAGATGAATAATCCCCCAAACAGAGAAGAGTTTTATTCTAAATTCTAAGTAGTAAAATACCTTCTGAAATCACATTTATCTGTTGTAATCTCTTAGAATGTAGAATGTGAGGTTTTCAAGTATGCAGTATTGATAAAGTGAAAGCAGCGATATGCAGCTATGTATAAATGATTTTTGACTTTACATTAAATATATCTATAGCTATCTTTAATAATTGACATGTTCTTTTTCTTTTGGCAGACATATAGCATCTTTCCTGTCAGTCTTCAAACTAGTGCTAATAGGCTTCATTATTGTCGGCAAGGATCCTTTTGCTTTGTTTGGAATGCAAGCTCCAAGCATCTGGCAGTGGGGTCAAGAAAATAAGGTATTTTTTCTGAAATGTTGATTTTTGACATGATGGAAGCTACCTTCACTGTGAATACATTTGGCCATCACAATACACCATGGTTCTGTGGAAACCCTGGGGAGTCTGTGTGCAGGCTCTTGCTTTAATTGCTCCATCTAGCATCACATTTTCTACGCTGAGTAGTGTTGGTTTTCTTTTGTGAGCAGTAGTTTTTCATAAATCAAATCTGGGACCTTTTGCATGTAGAAGTCGGCAACAGAGCACATTTTTGCACATAAAAGATCCCATATTCAATCTCCATCATCCTCTGTGGTGCTTAGGAAGGAATTTTATCTGAAACCCTGGATAGGCGGGGTATAAATGCAATAAATAAATAAGCAAACACACACACACACACATACACACACACACAAAGTTGACAGCTCTAGGGTGGAAGGACTAGTGCTCTGACTTGGACAAAGGTAGCTTATTATGTTTCTAAACAACTAAATTTCAGTCCATGGTTTGTTTAGAGTAGTAGGTAAACCCAGCACTTTGTTTCTTAAGAAGCTAGGGATAGTATCTAGGTTTGGGTTTGGTTTATTTGTGGAGAAACAGATTGGTGGCTTGTGCAGGATTGCATGTTGTACTAAACAAATCATGGACCAAAGGTCTGTGATTTTTTGGTTGCTGCCATTGCAAGCATGTCCATATTAAGGCAGGGTATCTGCTGATCCCCAGGTTACCATAATGTGCCAAACCAGCCCATTTGTTTATTTAATTGAAAGTGCTGTTGTAAGCAAACTCTTTCTGATAATGGTGAGTAGGGAAAAAGCTTTCCCCACCTTGTTCATGAGATTATAATAATAAAATAAAGTTGTTGTAAGATAGAGATGAAAAAAAATGCTAGTTGTTACAAATTTTATTTATATGTATTTTTGGCCCTCAAATAAGAATTTGGGGCATGGCCATGGCCACTCATGGTCCTTCTTACTGCCACCAGGAGCAATTGTTTCTTTATTGGCTGGCAAATATAGGTCTAGGAGAACAGAATGCATCCACATTGCCTTACATTTGAAGTAAGGGACTGGGATCTTAGCATTTTCACTGTTAGACATTCTGGAGCATTTGTTTCAAAATAACTGACTAGATGAAGGATTTGGGTAATACGTAGTTTTGATGTGGTTTTGTCCAAGAAATAGCACTCTTAAGGTTTTTTAATGAGGAGTTGAAACATTTATCTTTGTGGGAACTTCCAGTATCGTGTTGCTGATGATTGCATCATCTTGTCCTTGGTGTATAGGCACTAAAAGAGCATTCTGTAGAGTAATGTAAAGAGAACAAAATCAGTAGGATTTGAAGCCAAATAGTAATAAGGCATATTAACAGTAGGAAGTGATACCTTGTATGGAGCATTTGTGCACTTACTTACCCACTACATAAAAGAGCTTACATTTTATATATAGTGCTATTTTAAATGTATTTTAGAAAATAATACATAATAGTAGTCATTTTGGTATGTATTTTCAAAGTGTTGTTTGAAAGTTCTTTCTAGGTTCTTCCTAGGATATGAGGAAGATGAACATTTTAATTAGTCATGAACAAAAAGAAAATGATGTTTCACCAAATACTAATATAAATAGAATGTACAGTATGTATGTAAGAACTGGCATATATGCATTTAAACAAAATAAGTTAGATGAATTCTCTTAATTTTAGGTCTATGCTTGTATGATGGTTTTCTTCCTGAGTAACATGATTGAGAACCAATGCATGTCAACAGGTGCATTTGAAATAACTTTAAATGGTGAGTTTTTTTGTATCTTCCATATAGGTTTAATTTAATTGTACTTATTGTTGCAGTTTCTATGATGCTGCCAGGCATCATACAGGGGATGAGACTACAGTAGAGTAATGAGATCATGAATGGGCTACTTCCAAAAGTCACTGCTGCACATGGCCACCCCTGGACATCTTAAGAGGAGACATGTAGCTTTCATGTCTTCCCTATGTCTTCATTGACATCTAAAAAATTCACAGGAAATTATCCATTGTTGCATATATTCTGGTATGTCTTGTTTCTAGTTTAAAGGTGAGAACAGATTTAAGGTCCTTAAAATTGTGGATTCTCTAGTTTTTGTAAAATTGTCTGCTCAAAAATAGTGATTGAATTCTTGTTTGATAAAATTGAGATCTTCATTTGATTGTTACGGTATTCAGTAGTTTGTATCAGTAGTCTTATTCTAGATCTAAAGTTGATGCATTTCAGATCAGAGCAACAACTAGAGACCATTAAGCTCTATAAATGTTACATTAGTGTGCTAGTTATGCTTCATCTCCCCTTCCCTCTCTCTTGTTTAGATGTTCCGGTGTGGTCTAAGCTGGAATCTGGGCATCTTCCTTCCATGCAACAGCTTGTTCAAATCCTTGATAATGAAATGAAACTCAATGTGCACATGGAGCAAATGCCCCATCATAGATCATAGCCCTGCCCATCAGTACTGAACACTTCTTGTAAGTTTTTCACCAAGATTGCTTAGCTATTCATTTTATTTTTCTATGTAAAATACATTGTAAAAAGTCATTAAAAACCCTGTTATTCAGGCAGGCATTTCAAAATATTATACCTGTGGACTCAGCTGAATTTGTTTAGCCATATTATGACTAATTCCACCATTTTAAATGTTTTTACATAATTGTATTTTAATATACTTTGATTGTACTGTTTTTGTATTTTATTATTATTTTTTGGTGGTTTTGAATTGGTGTTTTAATTAAATTATTGAGTCTTTTGTTTTAAACTGCCCATAGTGGCCCTTGGTCATAGGGATGGTAAATAGATAGATAGATAGATAGATAGATAGATAGATAGATAGATAGATAGATAGATAGATAGATAGATAGATAGATAGATAGATAGTGAAAGTATTCAGCAGCATCACAATTGAGTGTTTGGTATTAGTTAACGAACTAAGCTTCTGCTTGAGGGATATCTTATAACCTAGATACCCTCACTAACCTCATTTAATAAACTTCTCTCTTATAGTAGCAGAGTAACATATAGTGTATATTCATTATTTCTGGTATCAAGACTTTTAGATTATTCTAATTTCCTTCCTTGGCAAATCTCATATAGAATAGCTTCAAATGTTTTTTTGTTTGATCTTTGTCTTGCTGTGTTTTCAGACGTTAAGTGACACTTTTGAAAAGCAGCATGAACGAAATAAATGAAGGCCTGTACTGAAGACAGCGTGCTGTTGGTACAGACTGGATGCTCTTCTTCGCTTTCATGTTGTTTCCCTGAAAATCTTAATGCAAGACCCCTTTCAGTGCTGGTACGTTTCTAAATACTGCACTTTCAAGGAGTGCAATAATATTGTATAGTGTTTTTTTTTACAAAAATGTTAATTCAACCAGTTCAGTGCTAGACAATGCAGGCATTAACTGATTACAGCTTTTTATTTTGAGTTGGATTCAGGCTATATTTGTTTCACTTAAGCTCCATTGAAATTTAAGGCTTAAGTGCAGCCAACTTTGCCTCGACCTAACCCTTATATTCACGTCTAAGAAAATTACAGAATAAGTTAATATCCTAATATTGTCCCAGGAAAAAAAAAGTCTGATCTGCTTTATGTGGGATGTATGTTCTATCTGTAGTTTAAAATAGATGTTTAGAAGTATAGGTTATCTTTTAAACTGGTTTGGATGATGATTGATGTCTATCAAACATTGTTGATTTAGTCATGTAAGTTTTGTATATTTTCAGAGTATATTGCGGAGTGAATGATGCATTGTATACTAAATAATATAAACAAAATTATATGAAAAGTAACTTCCGTCAACATCCTGACTTCAAAGAAGACCAAGTGCTGTTCAGATTCTTTCTGCAATCTTAAGTCTTGTTTTCTGGACCAGTCTAAACGATCAAGTAGTTTGGTCTTTATGCTGTCCTAAATAAGAACCTAAGTGACTAATTTAAATAAAGAACTTCCATTTACTCTGTGTGAAGAAGCTTGAATTATTGTGTGGTCTTCCTGATTATCAGTTTAAAGCAAAAACGGCGTTTTTAATGCATTAAAAAATTCAACTTCTACAATTCTTGGGCTACATAGCACCCATCAGGTTAGCCTTACATTTGAAAAATATTTAATATACTTTCTTTATATACAAAAAAAGGAAATGAAAGATTTCATTTAGGAACATTTTTGTTTGGAACAAACAGAAATGTATACACATTTAAAGTTCTTTATGTTTAATTGTGCACAAACCTTACAATTATTGGTTATCCCCCCTCTCACCTCTTCTATTTGTTCTAGCAGATTAGTCCACTGTGCCAATTATTTCTGAAGCAAATATATCTTCCACAACTTAGAAGGTTACAAACCACCAAAACACTATCAATAGTCTGGCCAAGTCCTGGACTTCATAAATAAATGGTGAAACACACTCAGAGTTGGTCATAAACTCAGTGGTGGGATGGGAGTTAAAATTTATCTTTTAAGGCCATTGTTTGACTTTCCCATGAGTACTCGGAAAACAAGTAAATTGCATCTATGGTAATAGTTCCTTAGGTGTGTTGCTAGGTGTTCAATTTCCATAAATATATGATATAAAACAGTAAGCCAACAGCACTTTAGTGCCTGCATTCTTAAGGATCAATACCTTCAAAACTAGTTTTGGGCTGAAACAGTTACGTAGTTTTCACGAAAACATGAAATATCTTTGTATGGTAATTTCTGCCATGTAGTCGGGCCATTATTGTTCCACAGCTATATTTGGAAATTAGAGAATCAATAGGAGTGAAGGGTTGCTGTTGATTGGCAATTATTTTCATACTTATTTGAAATTTAAATTTAAATAAACTTTTCAGTTAAAAGTAAGAGAGTGCACAGTGAGCTGAAGAGCTCTGACTTTAGACATGGGTGGTCTGTTTGCTTTCCCCTTATTTCCCTCCACCCGCAACGATGACAGTGCAAGATTTAGGTAGTTGGAGGAGTTGTTAAAGCATTTGAATTTCCACCACTGAGTCCCTCTGCCAAAACAAGGGCAGACTTGAGTCCCCTACAAGATGGCTGGAAAGTCCCCAGGTTCAGTACTTGCACATGGGCTGGTCATTTGGGGTAGCTCTACTTTGGCTGTAACTGCTTTGTGAAGCAAAGCAGATTCCTCTGCTCTGTAGAATTTTCTCCAGAGAATTTTTGCTCATCTTGTTTTAAAGTTATTTTTCCACCTAGCTTCTCTTGTAATTTCCAAATTTATTGCAAGTACTGTCTTTATTTATTTATTTATTTATTTATTTATTTATTTCTATCTATCTATCTATCTATCTATCTATCTATCTATCTATCTATCTATCTATCTATCTATCTATCTATCTATCTATCTATCTATCTATCTATTCTATCTAATCTATCTATCTAATCTATCTAATCTATCTATTTCATTTATACCCCGCCTATCTGGTCGATTGTGACCACTCTAGGCGGCCTACAACACACACTATAAAAACAATTAGTCCTATAGCATAGCACATAACATAATTTGCATAAATAAAAAGAAACAATTTTTTCCCCAAAGATGGCAAGAAACGGTATATTATAACAGAATAGGAAAGAAAGAATAATTAGGAATTTAGAAGAACGTTCTGTGGCATGTCTTTATTTGTACACTAAATGTGCAAACGTATGAAAGGAGAGAAGCTATGCTTGTATTTTATAAGTAAGTGGCAACACCCCCCTTTTTTGTTATGCATACAGATCTCGCTGTTGGCTGTGTTTTGTACATCTGGTTTCAGCATTATACCTATTCATGTAGGATCCCTCCGCCTTTCTTTATACTAAGAAAAGTGTCACCTATTCAACACTTCACAGTTGCTCTTCTGTGAGCAAGCAGTTCTTAGCAGCTTGTACTGGCAGTGACATATTTCCTGTAATTGAGATAATAAAGGCTGTTGTCTTATTTAAAATGCCAGTTCTTTTGGAAGAGGTTAATTGCAGATACAGTGGTGCCTCACTTGATGACGATAATCTGTTCCGTTCAAATCGCTGTTAAGTGAAATCTTTTTCAAGCAGGAAAAAATCCCCATTGAAATGCATTGAAAATCGGTTCAATGCATTCCAATGGGGGAAATACCTGCTCATGCAGCGAAAACCCTCCATATGGCGGCCATTTTGTGATGCCTGTAAAGCGAAGAATCGGCCCTGAAAACAGCGGGGAGCCATTTTGCGACCCGCCAGTCAGCTGTTTCTCATAGTAGTCTAGCGAAGAAATGGTTCCTGAAGCAGGGAACCAATTGTCGTCACATGAAAAAAAAAACATTGAATCATTGTTTTGCGATTGCTATAGCGATTGCAAAAAAGGCATTGTTAAGCGATTTCAGCGTCAAGCTGGGCACCACTGTACTGCCAATTTGGTGCCACTTCAGAAATTTTCTTCTTTTATCCTGTGCTTGGAAGTGCATACATGTAACGTTGTTACTGCCAGGAAAGCTTTCAGCTATAATCGTGTCTCCACGAGATTTAATTTCCCTTTAAAGTAACAGTAATAATTTTTCTCATCCTCACGAAGCCAAGTAAACAATCAGCATAAGGCAACCATCTGTCAGATCTGCTCTGACTTGGATTCCTGCATTGAATAGGAAGTTGGGCTTGATGGCCTTACAGGCCCTGTCCAACTCAGTTATTCCATGACTAATACTTTTCCCTCTTAAGCACAGCTCCCAAATGCTTACAGAATTTCATTACCCATCCTACCTCAAAAGAGGAGGAGTATATTGCTGAAGCTTTGTCATTGCCACAGGCATTCAGAGCAATATAGCATACCCACTTTTCTTTGTAACCAGTACAGTATATAATTTATTTCAGCTTATATACCACTTCATAGTGTATGCCCTTTTACTTTCTACTGAAGTAAATGTATCAATTAAGCATTAATTTTAATTTTAAAAATTACTCTTATTTTTGCCTCATAATATATGTTTATTGGAGTATTAAGTCCTATGGAATTCAGCTTTATATACAGAGGAATAAAAGCCAATTGAAAGTATATCTTAGATCACTCAGAACTGTTTGTTCTTCATCGTGGTCTTCTGTGAATACACACATAAAGGGTTAAGTCAGCGCCAGCGTCGGTCCCTTTCGGAATCTTCTAGAGCTCTGCAAAGGAAACATAGTTAAACATTACCTACACTGTTCATGCTCCGCCCGCCCAAACCTCAGTTCCATTTCTCCGCTGTGTGAAATGGTTCCTTTCGTTCTTAGCTCTGCTAAAATTCCTGCTTCGGATCGCTTTTATTACTCTTTTTGGATATTATTCTTCTGGTTTTGACCTCGGATCGCCTACGGAC